AACAAATAACCAAATAGGAAGATCATAGTACAAGAGAGCATGTGCCTAAGTTGTAACACTAGCTATTTAAAAGAATGTCACAACTCAGCTAATAATTGCAATTGTAGATGCCGAGAGGGGGAAAGGATGAGGAAACGACTCTTCATTGGAATCAAAAGTAGAAGGAGGAGTTGTTGCACCGCCTCGCAGAGTATAATCGTAATTACCACAGTAGGAAACCAACCCAAAAAAATTGGGAAGATTAGGCTACTGAACTACAAAAACATTTTACGGACCCGATTACGGCGGCCAAGGTTCAACAGATGAGAGTGCGCCTAAAAGGCAAGTTCGATAAGGAGGTTATACTACGCACAATCACAGGCCTTGGTTGGGATCTTGTAACAGGCGCTGTGACATGTACTGACGAGTATTGGGATGATTTTGCTAAGGTAAAATGGTGTGGTTCAATTTCAATTTTTTTAGTATTTAGCATAATTTAAGATATGTGTTAAACATAACCTTACTTATGTCGTTATGCTTTGTCACACAGAACAAGAAGTGGGCCAGTGCTGCAAAGAAGCAGCCCGTAAAAAACTTTGACCTATACTGCGAGGCCTTTGGCAATACCCAGGCAAATGGGGCTCATGCGAGGGGTTTGGAAAACCTTACCACCAAGCATGTAGACACCATCCCCATCCCCGATGAAGAAGGTGAAGGGGGGGCGACATCGCATTCGTTAGGCAGCGACGACGATTTTGTCACTACAATGCGAGCCTGGTTGAACACTGCCAGGAAGGGCTTGAATGTTGCGTCCAGCTCCAAGGGGATTGGAAAGAAATCTGCACGCAGTTACAAACGTCCAGTTGGCGATCCAGAGGCTAAGGCACTACTTGGACGACTTGTGGCATCTATAGAAACTAGGCATAGTAGCAAAGCTACCAGTTCCAGCGCTACTCAGAGCCATATGACCCTTTCTCTTATGCAGATTTGCTAAGAGCTTGTGAAGGGAATGGATCTTGATGATGATTCTAGTGTAACTTTTTTAGAGGCCATTGCATGGTATCTGCACATGTAATAACTTTTTGTGGATATGACAGAGACGCAAAGGGTATGTTTCGTGACGAAGACCATTACCTCTAAAACAAATCAAACTCCCCAGCCGTGCTCCATGCCCCCTCCATCCATGGCCTCCAACTTCATGCAGCCCCCGTATCAAAACTTCATGGCCACACCCAACTTTTACCAACAACCTCCTATCTATGGCCAACAGCCTCCTAACTTTGGCCAACCACAAGTACCCAGTTTTTCTCAACCTGACCCCAAATGTTACCCCCCATCCCCCTAACTTTCAATATCAACCACCCTATTACATGCCTAGTTTTCCCCCTAACGCCGATCATTTTGGTGGAGAAAGCAATGAGGAGTAGCTATTTATGAGGCTTTTTAATTATGAGGCTTAGATAGTGATGGTCGTTGTTCTTAATTATGAGGCTTTTTAAGGATTATGTTGTATTCATTTTTATTGAGTTGTGTTGTACTTCGGAACTGTTACTTCATTTGCTGTTTCTTTTAATTTATGTTCTGATCACATGGTGCAATTTGTATTAAAAACTTTACTTGTTATGAAATGGGCACCTCCTAGGTAGTGACTTTTTAAATACTTTGTCATAATGTTATTGCACAATTTCAACCTTAACTATGTTGTGCACGTGACCTCTATTATAACATATTTGGCAAACAGGTCACAATGTGGAATGGAGGGCATTCGAATGCGTCGCCTAACAACCTAGTGAGCGACAACTCGAATGATGAATATGAGGCAGCTGCCGTCGCGGCTGTCCTCTGGTATTACCACGCATACATGGAGAGACCCCCACCTCGACCTAAGCACACCTCCGCATTGACAAGTATTATGAGTGTTGATTACTTGCTTGATGGCCACGATGACATAATTCGGAATAAGATTAGGATGGACAGTGACTGTTTTAAGCGTCTTAGTTCACTACTATAAGGTAGAGGACTATTGAGACCCATTAGGAATATGAATGTAGACGAACAGCTTTTTATCTTCCTATATATTGTCTCCCAAAGCCAAAGCAATAGGGAATCACAAGACCAATGGCAGCATTCTGGATCCACCATTTCCAAATACTTCCAGGTAGTATTGGATGCAATATTTAACCTGCGCCATGATTTCATAACACTCCCGAATTATAACATTACTGATCCAGTCATTGCGGCGCATGGAAGCAAGTATTTGCCATGGTTTCAGGTATCTCAATATGAATGAGTCATATGCTTATCGAATTACTTGACGTAATTGATAATAGTTGTTGTTAATTGATTACAGAATTACGTTGGAGCTCTTGATGGGACTCACATCCCTTGTGTTCCACCACCCGGTAACCCCGAAGTATGGCGGAATAGGAAGGGTTTATACTCCCAAAATGTGTTAGGGGTATGTTCATTTGACCTGAAGTTTACTTATATCTTAGCTGGATGGGAGGGCTCTGCCCATGATGCGCGCGTTCTTGCAGATGCAACAAGTACAAGAGATAAAAATTTCCCAAATCTACCGTTAGGTATGTGAACAATAATCCTTGCTATACATTCGATATAGAAGCAGTATTGTCGGTTGGCTGTCTATACTTAATTATTGATTTGTAATGGTTAATATAGGGAAATACTACCTTGTAGACTCTGCCTACGCGAATACCAATTGTTTCTTGGCGCCGTACTGGGGAGCACATATCACCTTCAAGAGTATAGGGCAAGACGTGGCCGTCCTCGAACTCAGCGTGAGTTGTTTAATTATACGCATTCATCCCTAAGAAATTCTATTGAGTGCACTTTCGGTGTTTGGAAAGCACGGTTCCACATACTAAAGTGCATAAATAATTACCCAATAGAGAAACAGATACAAATTCCTGTTGCTTGTGCTGTGCTTCACAATTTCATACATATGTACAACCATAAAGACAAGCTACTAAACCAGTACACACGAGACGGAGTACCAGTTGTTGATATTGATCCAGAGAATGCGGATCAAGATGTTAATCAGAATCACAATCCTGATCGGGCAACAGAACAAAATCACAACTCCGCAAATCGTAGAGAAATGAATATTTTGAGGGACGAGATGGCTGCTAGCATGTGGGGGGCATTAGAAGCATATCGCAATCGGTAGTTACATATATTTGTTTCGCAATTTCAACGACCTTATTAATATGAGTTTGTAATGCTAAACTTATGGACGTTTTTATTATTATATATGAATGTATGTGTTTATGGTTTCTCTCTTTAAAAAAATCCATGTCAATACTTGTTAAAATTGGAGTTATGTTTTTTTCAAAAGTGAACACAAAACTCAAATTTAACATTCACAAACTATCCAAGTGAACACACAACTCAAATTTCAAACTCAATTCTAATTAAACTCACTTTTTTAACTCTAATCTTAAATTTCAAACTATTAAAAAGAACGCACTTAAATTACTCTTAAAATTAATTAGGGTTGGGTCTTTTTTTTCACTCACTTTTCTCTCTCTTCCCCCACCTTCTCTTTCTTTCTTTCTCCCCCTCTTTCTTATTTAATTGGCCTCTTCTATTTCTCCTCCTTTTTCTCTCCAGTTTCTTTCTCCCCCTCTTTCTTCCTCAAATAATCCTACGAGCATCCATCTCTTGCCATTGTCATGCTTCTCCGCTGACCAAGCAGAGCTACTCGTGCGAAGCTTCTCCAGAATCTCTTCGTCTCCTCTGTGCTCTTCCTGTCGCAGCTGTTGAGCAGAGTCCGTTGGGAGCTCTTCTGTGCACGGGGAGATCTCACGTTGTAGCAGTCGCATGGAGGAGATCTCTCGTCGCAGTCGTCGTGTGGAGGAGATCAGACCTCTTTAGCGCGATCTCTTCCTTCGCACTGTGATGGTGTCGGTAAGACCGCACATGTGGAGGTCCACTACGATGGACGTTCGAAGGAGTCTTCGATGTTCTTCGGCGCCGAAGAGACCTTTTTGCACGGATCGACGGTCGAGCAAATTTTTTTCATTTTTGATGATTTGTTGGTTCTATGAGACTATTTGTGTAATTTTTTGTGTATTATCTGTGATTTGGTGGATTTTTGTTGTGGATTCTTTGATTTTTTATTTTATTTTAGTGATTCTTAGTACTCCGGTGACAACGCCGCCACCACTAACGCCGTTAACCGATAATAATCGCGGTGGGACACGGGCCGGTACCTTGGCGGAGTACTGACAGGTATTATGGTGGATACTAACTGGTATTCTAAGGATATATTGTTTTTTTATTATTATTATTTTGGTTAATTATGGTAATTTTTTAACATTTCAGTAAAAAATCCAATCAATTCATCAGCCCGAAACTGCTAGCGACCGGTATCACGGTGGTTACTGATCGGTAACCATCGACTGACAATGCATATCGACTGATACCGGCCGTAGATACTGACTGATATTATGGTGGATATTAATGGGTATATTAAGAGTGTTTAATATTTGAATTTAAAATTTAAATTTTATTATAATAAAAAATTTAAAAAAAAAAACCTCCCACATAAAAATAACATTTCAATTTAAATTAAATACTTGAATTATCAAATTAAATGAGTCTATAATGTGCCAATGTCGCTGTGGTATTTTCTCATTTAGTTTTTTTCCTCTTTATACAAGTCAATCCGAGCCTTGATTTTGCAGTCTTCCTGTAAAAAGCGCAAGAATCATAGACCCTGCACTATATCAAACAAATAAATAAATAAAAGTGGAGTAACTTAAAAACTTGTGGAAAAAAGTAGGAGTTTTGGCCAAAGTGAGAATGATCTAAAGGCAGAGGTAAGATTCATCCAATTAAGTATTAATTGAGTACTAATCAGATTATTTTCATTATTTTAAAGAAAGTTACAATTAAGATACGTAATTGGCGTATTAATGTGAATTAACATAAAAAGTTATTTACTAATAACAAAATACATTTGTTTAAATACTGTAAATTAATTGCAAAATGATCGGGTAAACGTTAAGGAATGATTTACACAAGTCTATGATCCTGAATGTGAGAAAAAATTACAGATTATCAGCTTTGATTTAAAAAAAAAAAAAAAAAAACAAACAAACAAACGAAAGAGGAGAGATTCTCAAGGTCTTCAAGGGAACAAGTTGGAGGTGAAGCAAATTTTTCATATGCCCTTCTATTTTCCTTTTCCCAGATGCCTGTACAATGTCAATTACAATAATACAAGAAAAGACTAATGTCTTTATAAATAAGTCATTATCCTAAATTAATCTGCAATTCTGATCGGAAAGCTCTCATCAATCCCCTAAAAAATATGGCCTAAATGAAATTGCTAGTTTTAAGTTTTGCTAAAACAAACAATTCAGTATTTCATCTGCAGTTCTAATATCTCTGTTAATGGAACTAATCTATTTTTCTCTAATCCCATATCTCTTCAATTGCAATCTCTTTAATAAATTGTGTTAGAATTAACCAAATGAATTAATACCAAGCTCAATTGTGCCTGCCTTGTATTCGGTAAACACGACAGCAGCGGAGAGAAGTGAGCCGAACACCGTTGCTAACGCCCCTAAAGGAACACCAACCTTTGGAGATGTGACCTGACTTCTAGGCCTTGTGACCATTAACACAGCTGCAAAAATGAAAAACGAATTGGCAAGTGAGACTACATAACATGTACTTGCGGGGAACAAAAACATGAAAACAATCCTGCAATACAAAAAACTATCTTGCTTACAGGCACAGAATTTCCGTCTCCCCTTTAAAGGATAAAAGGCTATCTGCTCATAAGGCAGGATGATGATAGAACCAGTATGAAGAATTAAAGGGTAATACACAAATGGCCAGAATTTTGGACCCCTTTCCAAAAATTATCCATAACCTTTTTTTTATTTTTCTTTTTATTTAGGTCCATTTTTTCAGAAAACTACTGATTAACTCTAAGTAAACCATCAATTTACTCTTAGGATTTAGCAAAATCAAGCAACTCATCGAATTTACTCTAATAAACCATTAATTTACCCTACCACAAATGGACATAGAACTAAAGAGAAAACCTTGAGGAAAAATGGGCATTTCATCACAATTTCCACGAGGGGGGTTAACTATCGGTGGCCACTGGTTAGTTGTTTCTATTTAAATAAATAATTATATCTTCAAAACATGAGTTATACCTTCGTGGGCCTCTTTGGACGTTCATTTGCTCCTTGTGGTGGTGCTCAATATGTGGGTTCACTGCTGCAACCTTTCGCCTCACTGCATGGGGAATTTCACACCCTTTGGCGTACTTACTCCCTTTTCTCCAAAACCACAGATTCTTTCTAGTTTTTTCCAAATTGATCATGCAGTTGAAAAATAAAAGCAACATTTGCCACATTTATTACTTGGGATTATATGAATGAGCAACTATGTGCATCCTCAAAGCTCACTGAAGAACTGTTCTTCAAATCCCAAAAGAATTCAATTGCATGCAACCTGCAACTAAAGGTGATGAGGAAAATATTATATAACAAAAAGAGAATAATGAATGATAAAGATTGATTCAGTGTATTCCCATATACTGAAAATCTAACCTAATTGCATTGCCATGTTACAGCAAATAATTTCACTCTTAATTATGTTAAAAAAAAAAAAAAAAGAACCCAGTTTCCTCAGAAGTCAAAAAACAGAATTGAAACCTCTAAAAGTCGGGCTTGATCGCTTTTTTCTGAACCACTTTAACCTCAAGCACGGAACACATGGAAATATACAGGCCACTTGCATCCTAATGTTGCTTGCGAATTGCGAGTGTTGAGTCATCTCATAAAAAGTATTGAGTTTAAGTAAACTCAATAGCAATATAGTAACTAATGTCAACGCATTACAAGCATACCTCACTCAGGGGTGGGACTGTATTAGATACTTCCTCAGTACAGTCAACGGCAGCAGTATTTTGTACTTCAGCTAACTGAGACACATCAGATTGCATAGTTACTGAATGGAGACAAACAGGAGGAGTCCTCTCACAACAGGTATGGCACCTAAATCCAATGACTATATCAATGTTCTCTGGATGAATACCAATAGCATCCGCATGAAACCACTCTGCATGTATCCAAAAGGAAAAAGCAGTTAAGAAGAAAGTAATATACAAGGAACTAAGTAAAGTCTGTACCAGGGTTATGATGTCACAAAATAAAAGGCAAAAAAGTCTTTAAAGCTACAATATTCTAATCCGAAACATAGTTCAAAACACTAAAAAGTTAACTGAATTATGTACAAAGTGAAGACTAATTACCTCGACAGGTCTCACAAGCAACATAATTTAAGGTAGATTTGTATCCTGCTTCATCACAAAGCTGACATTTAGGTTGATTTGGAGTGTCAGAGGACTGTTCAGGAGGGGCTAGAAAACTTTTATCCCTAAAAAGGACAACTCGTTCATCATTTGGCTTTCTAGACAACAGCAAACCATTAAGCCAGTAACTGTGAGAAACTGCTGTTCTCTTCTTCCTGCAAGAAGTACCTTTCTTTGTTTTCTCTTGAGTAGCCTTTTTCGCTTTGACCTGTTTCCCTTTCTTGCGTCCACGATGCTTTTTGTTTTGCAGTTTGTTCGGCAGTGATAGGCATTTTGCTTTCCTAGTTGAACGCCGTAAAGGCACTGCAGGTATAGCTTTACTATTTTTCTTTGATTGTCCTTTCTGTCCAACAGTTGACACTTTTTTATTGCTTTTTAACTGCGACGACCTGCGGTCTGTCTGAATGTTTTTGGACTGCTTTGATTTTACGTTGCCCCCTTTTTTGGCAGTTTTACCTTTTTTTGTATCAATCTTTGCACGCACCCCATTCTGGCATCGGTGGCACGTGTACGTACATTCTGCAATGATGGCCCCAGCAGACTTCTTGACATGCCTTTTATGGAAAAACCCTGCATAATTATAATAACATGAGAAAATTTTTGAGTATCCAGTACTAGCAGGAATCATGAAGCAAACAAAAACTCAGTGAAAAATTACAAAAGATAAAGCACAACCCAAAACTTTATTTTACCCCAAACCTCACTGATATCATCCTCTATGTCCTCAAAAATTCTATTGTTCGTCTCTAAGGTAAGCATGTAAATTAACATAAACGACATACATTTTGAACATATAACATACACATGAATTAGAGTGGAAAAAAAACAGTATCACTTGATTGTGTTTATCTACTATTTGAAAATAATAAAGCACATCAAAGAGCGTTGGCACTGAAGCACAAAAGTTAAAATATTAAACTATATTGAGCCCCATAAACTCCAACATTTTTTTTAATCCACAATCGTATTGATGAGGAAAGCAACATTTTGAAGATTTCCGATCAACCAGAAATTTCTAGCTTCACTTCACGCTTTAACAAAATTCATGATCAATGACCTCAGAAGTCACAATGTTCAAAACGTTCCAAAAGCAAATCATATCTTGCATGAAAGTTATGGATAGGGATATACGGCATTGTTTTCAAGAAAAACAAACTATAAAGAAATTCTGACAACTCACCTTTGCAATGCTGGCAGCTCACAGCTTCCCTGCCAATTTTGGATAAAAGAAGGTCAATAAAACAAAACACTGTAACTTAAATCATATGATGTTTGAAGAGACAAAGGAAAAAAATGCCATCCAACAACACAGAAAAAAGAAAAAAGAAAAGGGGAATATTTAGAAGCTTGATCTGGGACTAAATCCTTAAGATTCACAATTGGAAACAATGTCAAAGTTTCGAAAAATGTTACCAAAGAACGAAGAAAGAAGACAAAAGGAGACATGAATTTTTCATGTGAACAGCGCCAAAAAAACAGTTGGAAACATGGATCTACCTCAAATAGGGAAAATGCATCATAAAACGCATTTCCAGTTTAGTTAAAGTCTTACGAGTACAATAATTGCTCGTAATTGATTCAAACCCACGTTTAGAAATTCTGGTTTACTGTATAACTCTACTTTTGCATCATTTCTCATCGTAAGACATGGAAGAGTGACATCCTTAGCTAATTTTAAAAGGTGAGCTTCCGTAGACAGCTCAAATTTGCAGAAAAGAAAAACTAGTGCAAAACACACTAAAACAGATGAGCAATTAAAGGAATAGCAATGAAACCATGATTAGTACCTGATTAGGACATCTTTATTGCAGTGGCCACACTGATAATACTCTGATCTTTCTGCTTTTGAAAATAAATATGCAAATCCCTTTTTTTGTTGAGGCCTCTTCATAACACTACCATAATCAACAGATTTCCCAGATTTATTATCAGTAGATTTACGGGCAATTCTTTTCTCCTCAAAATTCTTCAAAAGATGCAGAGGAAGATAAGACTCATCCAACCAATATTTCTTCCTTTCACTAGAGGATTCTTCAACCATGGAACCGTGTTTAGAAACAACATCAGGGATGGCTCTTCTCTTGCCAAAATCAAGAAGGTACTTAACCAGTCCGCCTTGAACACTCTTCCTACGGACAATAACTTTCTTGAACAGCCTGATTGACTTTCTAGATTCTTTATCCAGCACAGGGAGAGGGTGTGTATTCTCAATGTCATCCCACTTAATGTGTGAATCAAGCTCTCTAACCTGATAACACCAAGATAAACTTATGTACCACAAATTCAAGAAAATATGAATCAAGAATAACAATCAAAACAGTGAGAACAACTAATGACGCTGATTACCCACTCTTAAACTAAAAGCTATATTATTATAATTATTACATACTTGGATTACAAAAGCGATATCTTATGTGATCAATAATAGACAGCTATAGACATCAATACCCAGTCCTAAAAGCTATGTTAATAATTAGATTGTAATAGAAGCAACATCATATTAATAGATAGATACAGACACCAATAATCTTCATAGAGTAAATGCTATAGTAATGTACAAGAAGGTAATTAAAACATATAATCATCGGCAATAGGAAAGGAAGCTGCTCGGCATGGCACCTGGAAAGCGAGCTGCTCTGCACTAGTTGATGTTTCTACAGCAGCTTGCCAGGCCACATATTTGCTTCTCTTTGCATATTCTGAATTCTCAGGATATAATATGCCTGGAATCTTTGTACAGCCACCTGCACAATTTAAACTTAAAATAAATTCAGAGCAATTATTCAACTGACCGAACAGTAAATAAAACTACCCAAAACTATATACAAAGAGAAATTAAAATAAGGACCTTGTCGGGCAGCCTTAGAAACCAAGGAGCAAGGCAGAACCTTCCAATTGAACACCTTACGAGAAAGCCTGCCCCCCCTCCACCAAAATATTCCCAGACCACTGGCAGTGTTTAGTGTAGGGCCGGACTCGGTAATGGGCCTTTTTCTGCCAATCACATTCTTTAAGGATCCACGTGCTGAGCTAGTCACAATATGAGAAGCTGAACCCACGGACACATCAGAATCCACATGTTTTAACCAATCTGCCGAGAGTGCAAGACGACCAAGATTTGACTCTAGCTGTGCAACACCCATAATATCCAAAATTAACCCAGATGTAACAAAGAATAGGTCAGGACAGCTAAATTCAACAATTATTATGTTGACGAAAAATCACAAAAAAAAAAGGGCTTGAAGCTATATCTTTGAGACGTTTTCATACAGAAGTGTTATATTTATAAACTTTTGTATGCGAGTTTATGGCCCAGATGTAACAAAGAATAGGTCAGGACAGCTAAATTCAACAATTATTATGTTGACGAAAAATCACAGAAAAAGAAAGGGCTTGAAGCTATATCTTTGAGATGTTTTCATACAGAAGTGTTATATTTATAAACTTTTGTATGCGAGTTTATGTGCATAAAAAAAAAAAAATAGATATGTACTCTATGAAGTACTTGGAAGAGAAGCCCATCCCACCCCCACAAACTTGCAACTCCCTGAATATTTGTCACTACAATCTAAATTTGTTACTGGATGTAGTTTTAAAAGGAAGAAAGCAAACTTCTTACTGTGAGCAAAAAGTGTTTAACAGACGCAATATCAGATGCCTTGAGAGCACTTTTACGCCAAAGCTTGGTATGATTTGGATTCAACCACGGACCCAAGAGAAGCCCACGCAGGCGATTTTCAATGGAAAGAATCTGATATATGATATCAGTAAGATGACTTTTCCTATTCCTTTTCGATTGGAGGCTAAGATCGTCACTGCTAGGAAATTCCCTAACAGGCCCCACATTCATGGAAAACAAGCACTCCCTGTCATCAGTGGCAGCTCTACATGAAAAGCACCAACCACATTTCTCTTTCTGTACATCGACATTGAAAGTCTTAATACTTGACCAACAGAATTTCGAATACTTCTTCAGAATGACTCGCATCTGACGTGATATTATTTCCTCTTCCAAGATTACCACGTCTTGCTTGATTTTGTCTGATGATTTACGCGTCAAATCCTCTGCAATTGATGAAGCAATTTGACCAAAACTATAATAGTTCACATAACCATTTCCATACTGCACTTCTGATGTATTACCTTTTCTGGTTGTTATACAAGTTGAGGGATTTTCAGGACCAGCAGATTCAATAATAGCTTCTTGTCTCATATCTACGGTAGTAAGTTTTCCTTGTATGACAGACTGGTTTTGGGTTTTAGCAATGCTAGTTAAATCGTAGTCAGTGCCTGACCATGTTTGTGTTTGTGTTTGTGTTATTTCAGCTGATCCTTCAGAGGTTACATGAGAACTTCCTGTCACGGTTATTGCATCCAACTTGTTAACAGACTTCAAAATTTGAGAGCCAAGGCCAGAATCTTCAATCTTTGTGTTCTCTTCCATTTTTCTCTCCTCGACAGATTCATTCTTAACTGCACATAATTCTGCAGATGCCAGTGAGACCGGAGGATATGAAAGGACATGACTCTGTCCCTTCATAGACATGTCTGCAGACACGGAATACAGGCAGTTAATCTTGCTACTTGTTCCATTTAAGCTCACATTACTCCAGTGCTTGCAGATTGCCACTAATATGTCACCATAGAAAAAATCTGACGTCTTTAGCACATCAATAACCATATTCAGGTCATCTCTGTGGTAATAACTGGATGGGGACTCAGTGTCATAAGAATCTGACCTGCAAGTAAACCCAGCATAAGTGTAAGAGATATATGATTATGGGAAAAAAAAAATCATGTATTTTTTTTATACAAAAAAAAAAAATTGAACCAATAATGATAATGAATCAATACAATTATGAAATAAATGCAAAGTCATGAGAAAAATAATAAGGTGAAGAACATAAGAAAGTTGTAAAATGATATATTATGTAAAATTAGAAACTACATTCATCTTCAGTAGTGTATATGAAGATTTAGTCTACTCGTAAGTCGTAGCAACTGCATCTACAAATTGAAGTACTGAAACATATAATGGAGCTAGAGTGCTAGACTGATTAGAACTAGTCCTAGCAACACAAGCAGTGATATTGTACTGGATGGTAAACATGAAAAGAATTGCAAACTTACACCAAAAGGTAACCAGAGCTGTTAAAATATAGCCGACCATAAGGATCAATTCCTAATAACTCTGCCCCTCGGAGCGACTTTCGTGATTTTATCCAAGGCTTATCTCTGGCAATAGCACATTCCGGGCAATACCAATCACCTTCTGGCAAATGTTCATTGGCAATTCCTACACAACTTGAATGATAGGCAGCAGGGCATCCATCACAGCATATCAAGCTTCCATCCATCTTACAGAGGCAACACTCATCATAGTTCCAGTCATTATTGTTATCAATATCCTCTTCCTCCAAACAAGAGCCACCAGAAATGCCAAGTGAAGCCCTCCTTTTCTTGCCAACCCTGTGATTCAAATTCCGTTCATACGACATGTCAGGCTCAGCCGCCAATGATCTTCGATTCAGCTCTGATCTTATGGCCTCCACTTCAATCAAATCATCACATAAGCACCGAAGTATCTCAATCTTTATTGAAGCAGGTTGCTGATAGTAGTCAGCTTTGAATAACTTCAAGCTACTGAGATCAAAACTAGGTTTCAGTTCTGAACCATGAATTACAAAGTACTCGGCCATAAACATTGGCCAGGTAATTACGTCCAAAAAATTCCAGTTAAGACTCCTATGAAAAAACAAAACAAACAAAATGTTAAGCATAAGACAGAAAGAAGCAGAAGTGGCTGTGGAGAAAAATGAGCCAAAATTATTACTCAGATTTAATACCTTAGGCAATCAGAAGCAGATTCGGAACCTTCATTTGAAAGGTACTCCAAATGCTTTCGAAGAGTTCGTAATATAGAGATATGAACATTATCAAACAATGAAGTAGGAGATTTGCACTTCACTGCTGCCACAAATTCCTCCAGCTCAAAGGGACTCAGAAATAATAAAGTACTAAAAGATCGAAGACAGGCATAGACAGAAAAAAGGTCAAGTATGGGAATGTCCTTTAAATCTAAACTTTGAGAAGAAGGGGGTAATTGAAGCTTTGGAGGTAGAACAACAACGGGCTTCTCAGGTTCTTTCCAAACCGAAGTCCCTGGCTTTTCCTCTGTTATTGCACTAACTGCAGGAGAAGATGGTATATCATTGACCGTACATGAAGTGATCGAAACATGATTCTGAGCAGACCCTCTACGAGCACTTCTCCTCAAAACCGTAGGTGTAGGGGCTTTAACATTATCTGACAGTTTCCTTCTCTTTCTACGGCTACCCTTTTGGCTGCTTGGAGTTGCTGAATCGTCCAGGTGCTCATGGTTCATCATTGGAGTACCGGCTCCATAAGGACCATCCTTCAACTCAATCTCCGTAGCATCGCAATCTTTAGCAGAGTTAGTATCCAACACCACAGCAGAAGGATCGGGCTTTGCATCTTCACCAGAGACACTACAATCATTGTTAAGCTGTTCAGCAGACGCTGCACACGCATCCCTTACTGAGCTCTCAAGCAAGTCGCTAACACCCTTAGCACTAACATCTTCATTGATATCCAAATCAACTTTGGTCAAAGCCCCATTTGAATCCACATCTTCTACAATCTTTTCCTCATCACCGTCATTCGTTCGGGCATCGTTTCCCGCCCTCTCAAAACAAGTACTAACCTTCAGTTCTTCCCCGCCATCCTTAGTATCATCAACCACCTCCATATTCAAATCAAAATCACAACCCCTCCTCCGGATTTCGACGGGTGAAGTCAAACTCTCATCGAAATCATCATTCACATCCAAATTCAGATCAATATGCTCAAGTTTCCTAGAATTCCCCTCAGAACCTAAATGCTCATCGGAATCGTCATTCAGATTCAAATTAAATCCCGCATTCAAATCAAGCCCATCTCTCAAATCCCCAACCCCATTAACATCCCCATTAACAGAAAAAACGCCTTCTTTCAAACCCTCCATCTTCCCTAATAGGTTTTCCCCCTCTTTCAAATTCCCATTCCCTCCAATTTTACGCTTTCCCTCTTTCGCATCATTCAAAAAACCATCATGATTACTTACAAGGGTTTCATTTCCACCACGAATCGAACAATCATGAATGAGATTTTGACCGGCATTACCTGGCTCGCCCAATTCCTCGCCGCTCCGCTCAATACGACGCCGTTTCTTCGGCTTCCGGCCGAGCTGGATTTTGCCCTCGACGAGCATGGCGACCTCGGACAAGCCTAGCTCCTCGGAATCTCCGTCCTCGTACACGACCTTGAACAACCTGGACGACGCGTCGTACGACTTCACGGTTCCCAAGGAGAATACCACTTCGCCTTCGCCATCGCCGCCGCCGCCGCCGCCGTTGTCAAGCTCTCTCCTGACGGCTCGTCCGACGAACTCCATGATCCGGAGGCCAAAAACGACAATTGAGCCGGAGAAGAAAACGACGAGGACGAAGAAGGAAGAAAGGAATCCTCGGAGCTTCTTCTTCTTCTTTTGTGTGCGAAAAATTGAAAACCTCTTGCGACTCTCTCTCTCTAGAAAATGTTTAAAACGTGCAGAGAGGAGAGAGAAAGAGAGTTGGGGAGAAATGGGTCTGCATGTGTGGGTTCCTTCTCTTTTTCTTTTCTTTTTTTTTATTTTTATTTTTATTTTTTCCCTTGCCTTTGAGTCTTTAAACTAAACTGCTCAACTTCGTAGAGAGAGAGAGAGAGAGAGAGAGGGGATGAGTAGTTTTCGGAGGAAATGGAGTACACAAAACAAAATGAATTGAAAAAAAGGTAAATTTTCAGCAACTATTGAAAAACGTTCGTGATGCTGTCGATGTTAAACACAAATAAGTCTCTCCTGTTAATGTTATCGTGATGTTTACTTTTTATTAGAAAGCGATGCTGAATACTTCTCGTGATGTTCATTTTTTATTAGAAAATGGTGCTGAACACTATCGGTATTTAATAATGTTAGCCGTGTTTATAAAAGAAAATGATATAAACAAAGCAAAATGAATAACTCAGGTAAATTTTGAATAATTAGACAAATAAATTCCGTAATTTTTGCATAAGTTTTTTACGTAATGTAAAAAATATACACTATTATTGTAATGGAAAGATCCAAATATGAGAATTAGGTTTTAATATTTTGTATTGTATTTGGTTTTGGCGGGATGGCAGAGACTGAATTTGATTGTTTTCATTAGTTTTATGTTCTGATTTTCTTTTCTTTCTTTTTTTTTTTTTTTTTTGTTTGTTGAGGTCAAATGGTTTTTCTTTGTTCTTTGTTTACGAAAAAAAAATGATTCTGTTTTTGTTCATTTAATTGGTAGATTATAGTTTTTTTTTCCCCACGGAAAGATAATAATGGTGGTAAATTTACTAGATTTTTGGGATTTTCCTCTCGTTATGATGCTTTTGTAACCGCTTGGAGGAGCATCTTTTGTCTCCCTTAAATATTTTCAAAATAATTTTGGGTTTAACACTACGTTTGGTAGAGTGGAAAAGGAGAGGAAAGAAATTGAAGGAAGGATTTTGAGAGGAAAGAGAATTTTTGTTTAGTAAAGAGGAAATGAGAAAGAAAGGAAGTTATAAATCTATAGGGTCCACTACTTTTCATTCCTTCCAACTTTAGAAAGAAAATAAGAGGGATAAATTTTAACAAACAAAAAGTATGTAAATAACTATTATACTCTTAAACCATTCACTATATTTTTATTTGTATAAAGGTATTGTAGTAAAATAATCTAGATTATGTTTGGTAAATAGATTCGTTCCCTGATTCGAATCATGATACGTGGTTCGTTACAGTATTTTCTCTCATAAAAAATACACATAAATAAAAAATGATTAAAATCACATGGTTCTAATCCATGAACTAAACGGACTCATATTTTCTTTTCACTTTTTTTCTCTCTTTTACCAAACAATATAAAAGAAAATCTCATTTCTATCATTTTACTTCATTCACCTAGATATTTTACATATCTTTCCATTCTATTTTCCTTATCTCCTACCAAACATAGCATAAAAGAAAAATAATGAGCCTTTCTTTCATATAATTTGGTTGGTCGGATAAGTGTGTAAATGTAACGATAAAAGGGGTCTTAGGATGTAATTAGAAAGAAATATTTAAGCTTCTACAGGTCTTCTTGTGCTAATATGACAGAAAGTTTTTAAAGAAATTAAAATAACATAAAGTTGCTTCAGGATAGGTTTTCTATTTTTTTTTTAATGGAAAGCTTTAGGATAGTTAAAGAATTTACTGTAATGATTTTTTTTTAGTCTTATGTTGGTACAATCTAAGCATATTTCAAATTATTAGGAATCGCCATAGGCTTCAAAGTGGGTGGGTGACTGAACAACTCCCCAAAAGAGTGTTTTGGATGGCTAAATTTTTCTTTTTTCCCCTTTTTAATCTATGGCTAAAAAACCCCCCAAACTATACTATCTATCTCATTTTGACCCGATTTCATAACAAGTTCAATAAAAAGTAAATAAATTCTATTTCTAGCACATGAGTGTCACATGTTGATTTATATATATATATATATATATAATATGAGACGGGATCGAACCCATAATTTCCCTTCAAAATCTCACCCTACCTGAACCTTCAATGACACACTAGACCAAATGAAGGGAATTCTGAACAAATCAACAAGAGTGATAAATGCCCAACATCTTACTCGGGCACCCTTTCAGTCAAACCCTAAATAATTTCCTTAAGGAAGAATTACAACCGCAACACATGGGATTTTTCAAGCTCAGGATGAAGACTACCTCAAATATGTGTACAAATACCACGTCAATTTACCTCGTGGGATTGTATGTGTCTACTAGTGTGAATACAATTATACATATATATATATATATATGTCTTTAAAGAGCATTTAAAAATGATTGATTAGAACACCAACTAAAATGACATATATCGAAAGTCGATAATCATACGTCTCCCGTGCTAACTTAAGTTTTTACATAAAAGTTAAGTTAGATGAAAAAAAAATTCTTTGTTATTTTTACAACATGTTGAAAACTATAACATTTTACACTTTTTGTAATTATTTATGTAAAACTTTTAGCTATTATGTGATAAGAATGTGACTATCGACCTTAAATTTTAGAAATTGTTTAATTTTAGTTTTAGAAACCAAAATGTTAAATGTCAAAAGCTCAGGAATTAATATATTAAAATTAAAAGTCCAAATACCAAAATATCATTATAAAAAGTTTATGGACTAATAGTGTGTCAATAATCTTTTTAAAAAAAAAAGAAAAAGAAAAAGAAAAAGGTTTCTCCGCCTGTAAATCTGTTTGAAGAGGTCATAAATACAGGAGAACCCGAGTGGACATTGTTCTTGCTACGGAGGAAATGGTGGAGATTTGGGAAGATGAGAGTGACCAAGCAAACGCATGAGCTGGCCCTAAAAATAGCTTGGAAGATACTTTCATGGCAGATTTTGAATTTGGAAAAGAGCAAATTGAAAGGAGGGAGGGAGCAAACTGTCCAAAATGCCCTCATTCAAAACGAAAATGGCGTCTATGTTCTTGAATTTGCTAAATTTCTTAACTATTTTATGAGGGAAGAAGTGAGCAAATTGTTACGTACGTTTTGAAATTGGGTGCCAAAATGTGACGGGAAGTGTAATTTAGAGCCAAAATTGAGAATAGCCGAATAATTATTAATCTATTACACATCCTTGTGTCAAAGTTGATCTTGATTAATTTTCCTTATCGATCTATATAACATTTAAAAAGGTATATGTAGTTTCTTAAATAGCTAGAACAGATGAAATTGTCTCCCAAAATATAAAATTTTACAGATTAAACTTGCATATGTGTTTATGTGTATGTTTTTCCATCTAACTCTATATGGGTGCATTATCTATATAGATGAAAAGCAAAAAAGAAAAATTACAATTTTTTCTTGCAAGAATTTGGTCTTAAAATTTTAGTTACTACAGAATAATTTTTTTACAATTTCAGAATGAAAATAATTTCTTATACTTCTTGTAATGATTTTTATTCACAAAATATTACTAGAAACACTTCCCGCCCAATAAAAAATAAAAGGAAAGTGTCTGTTTTTTTTTTTTAAAAATTACAATTTTTTCTTGCAAGAATTTGGTCTTAAAATTTTAGTTACTACAGAATAATTTTTTTACAATTTCAGAATGAAAATAATTTCTTATACTTCTTGTGATGATTTTTATTCACAAAATATTACTAGAAACACTTCCAGCCCAATAAAAAATAAAAGGAAAGTGTCTGTTTTTTTTTTTTTAATTACTTAAATACCTAAAGGATTTATATGGAGAGAGATTGGGTTGTTCTTGTAGAGTGTAACTTGAGTGTAATTTTTAAGTTGAATTTGAGTTATAACTTAAATTGAAGTTGTAACTTGAATAAAGTTGAATAAAGTTGAAACTTAAAAGAATATAAACTTAAATAAAATTAAAACTCGAGTTGTCTTTTATTGAGTTTTTTAGACAAAAGAACAAACACAACATCATATATGGATGGACACTATTCCATCATATACTCCGTCTCCTGATAGGAAAGGATTGCTCAGCTCTAATAAATTAGAGGCTGGGTTAAAAACTAAAAAAAAAAAAAAAATTAGGGTTATAACTTTATTTAAGTTTATGTTCTTTTAAGTTTGAACTCAAGTTTTAATTTGAGTTTGAGACTAAAACTCGAGTTCAAGGTATCGTTCATTTTACCGATTTGAGTTTTCAGTTTTAGGTTTTTACAGTAAAAAACTATTAAAAAATGTCACATCTAACTTTTTTTGCTACAGTAAAAAGCTCTCATAAATTGTCACATCTCAACTCGAATCCACGAAGTGAACGAGGAAGTTTTCCTTTCAACTCAAGTTCAGAAACTCAAACTCAAATTAATGAACAGTATTTTTCTATTCTTAAAAATGCTATAACTTTTTTATTTTAATTCTGATTAAGATGATTTTTTTCTATGCGTTGACAACGAAAAGACGAATAAAATCTCACCTATATACCCTATTAAAATTTT